CACATGGGTACTTTTTTAACCTCTGTTTCAGAATACCGAGTGATGTTAAAATCTCAAGCCTATTTGTTATAATGAACAATCCTATGTAGGTTGGTGGTGTTCCTTCCTTAGGAGGAGAGACAACCATAAGTTCTTCTCAGGCATGTGTAATGTGGCAGGCGTAGTTCTGGTGGACTAGCTAAGAATCAGTGTTCCAGTTACAAACACTTACCTCTGAGGGCTAAAGACTTATATCTATAAGGCAGCAGATAACTAAGATGAAGAAGGGCCAATTAATGTTTTCTCCTTTGGTTCAGCACAGCAGAGGCAGCTAGAGAGTGTTCCCTGTAGCTGCCTAGGATGGATCTTTTCCAGTTCTACCCTGACAGGTGGCTTTTTCTCATTTGGTTAATTTGCAACTTTGCAGTTCAGGACTGCTCTACTCTAATAGTTAAATTCATTGCCTCTTGGGAATGAGACTAGTACCTCTGCAGAGCTGTCTTTCAGCATAAGTGTCTCTGTTTGCTGTCAAGATGAACACACACACCTGGTTTCTATCTAACCGTATTACATAGCATGAATTGCAGTCTCTGACTCTGTGCAACTCGGGTAGTTAATACTGCTTAGAAGCATAAGCTCTATTTTTTTGTATGCTTTAAAATCAGTTCATCTTCACTCACGTTGCTGCCTGCTTTTGTGGACCTGCTAGATAAAGCCTTCTGTACAAGTACTGCAAGTGTGTCAGTGAATGCCACTCAAAATTACACTGCTGAGTGTCATTGCAGCTACGAAGGCCTCCAAACCTTGCCTTGTGGAAGAGCAAGATGATACATTAGTGCTTCATTGGCAGTTTTTCTGTCATTTTTAAACTGTCAGTATAATGTGATAATGCATGCCTTGTGCCCTGTGGGGGTACCTGGCTTTAACTGTAAAAGTGGGCAAGATGGGATGAAGATCAGCAACAGGAGTTAGGAAGGAATCCATCTACGTGAGTCATTACTGCCCACCAAAACAGCTTATTTTGGTGGCAGCGTGCTGCAGTCTGAATTACTTCTCATCTTCCTGGCTACAGCAAGGTATGAGGAGTTGGGCAGCAGCCCTTCTAGGGGCTCTGGTTAGGAAGGAGGAGAAAAAGGCGTGCTGATGGAAGTACGAACATTGTTTGGTACTTCAAGGAGAGTGCTGATATTCTAGCCAGCAAATGAATCCGTGCGTTTCCTAAATCACATCTGAAATCTGCATTTCAGGAGAAACAGATGGTGGGTTTTGAAAAGCCCAGACTTGGTTGCTTTGCTGTTGTATTTTATTGGAAAGCTCGTGCAGTTAACTGCTTGTGGCTCTTGATGTGAGAGAAAGCAATACTTCCCAATCTTTGTACTCCTATGGTTATTCGGTCACCCCAGCTCAACCACGTTTGGTTTTTTAAGTATTATCTAGCACAATTTTTTGGCACTAAGGAAATTCCCAAAAGCAAACTTCACGTGTGGCTGAATAATGGCTTCTCAGCTGCTAATATGAATCGACATCAATCGCTGAGCTCAACTTGATGCGAATGAAAATTAATTTTAATGCCTTGTGTATGCTTTACTAGCTTAATTGGGAGTTGCAGAGAAAACATCTCTGAAGTATGCCCTTCTTGAAATAATCTGCATTCTTGCTGTGGTCTTTAGTCTTCAGAAAAAAAGACGATCTTTGCTTATAACACAGCCACATTTGTTGGAAGGTGGTGTTACTGGGCATAGGCTGCTGCAGCTGGCCAGGCTGGATGTGGCTCTGGGCAGCCTGGTCTGGTGTTTGCTGAGCCTGCATGTAGCAGGGGCATTGAAACTAGGTGGTCACTGTGGTCCTTTTCAACCCAGGCCATTCTGTGCTCTCTCCTCGTGCCCCCCGCCCTGCCCCCACGGCTGTGACAGTCAGCTGCTGCACGGGTTTGTCAGACGGCCTGCCCCACAAGATTTATCTTTCTCATATGGCCCAATAACTCCATCCCTGTGGCAATTTGCTTGAATAAAGAGTCTGGCAACTGAAGTTGAGCCTGGGGACATAGCATGAAAATCAGTGGTTGCTTCAGTGAGCAATTGCTCAGTGAAACGGTTAGCAGCTAGAGGAAGAGGTGCCCAGGCCTTCCAAACAGGGTGAAAACCTCACCCTGTGGAATTCCCCGTGTGGTAGGAAGACTTTACAATGTAGAGCATCTTCCATCACAAACGTGTGCTCTATTTGGAGTGAGCATTGATTTCTGCAGAGGGGTGGGTTTTATCCTTGCTGCCGATTCCAACCGTCAGCCTTTGTGGGAGTGACACGCATAGAAATGAGATTAAGGAGCTTTTGTTGATTCCTTGGGCCCAGCCTTCTGCCTAGTGCCGGGTCTCTAGCCATGGCTGCAAATTGCTGATGCACAGACTTTGTTTAGCTTTGCGTACATCAAAGCTGGGTTTTCATCTGGAGCATTTCACGTTTGGAATCTGACCTAATAAGACACGTAGAACACAGTGGGTGTTTTTGTTGCATCCCGAGCGCTGCTCTTGTGTCTTCTAGTAGGTATTTGTGTGCTTGCTATGGAGAAATTGTATTTGCTTCCTGAAGCAAAATTGGGAGCACGTCTGAAAATTGGCTTGTATGAATCAATACTGATCTTGCCTGGGAAAACTGAGAACAACACAGCAATTTTTAGTCTAGAGATGTAGAGAGAAAATAAACCACGTAGTAGCATCCTCCCAAATAAAAACCTTTGTGCAGCTTGAGTAATTTCTTTATGTGAATGGCTGTATCTCGTGGAAATATTTTCCAGGATGTAGGGCAGTAGGTATCCTCTTGCTTGGCTTTTCTGTGATTTTAAAGGTGGAACTGGGGGTGAGTGGATGTAGTTGAGCTGTTGATGACCTGTCTTTCACTCTGTGCTTTGCCATGGCTGTTAAGGCATCGCAGGAGTGATGGTTGTGTTCCTTGAAGCTGGCCCAGGCTGCTCATCTTTTTATGCCAGTGACCTCTTTTGGCAGGTACATATAGGAGCTGAGAGATTTCCTCATTAAAAAGCTGCACGTGTCATAATACTAATGCGACTGGAACAAAGCTAGCTACCTCCTTTGGGACTATCTGACATGATTTTTCATGGTTTTGAGCCTCATTCATTCATGCATTTATTTATTATTCCTTTTGAAGGTCATTTCTCTGTTTGCATCGCTTTAGATGGTCTCTTCTCCCTGGTGGTAGGGCAGACAGCAGTGATGGAATGCTGCACCAGAGGTGTTTGGGCTGAGCATCAGGAAACATTTCTTTCCTGCTGAGTGTGCTCAGACACTGGGACAGGCTCCATGAAGAGCTGTTTGGTGCCCATGGCTGTCAGTGTGCAGGAGGCATTTGGGCAGTGCTGAAGCTCTTGGTTAGCCCCAAAGTGATCAGCTGGACCTGGTGAGCCCTGTGGTCTCCTTCCAGCTGAACTTTTCCATTCTAGGGCATCCTTTTAAACACTTGGGAAAGGCCAGGATCAGGTGCAAGCAAGCTGGTCTCCTAAGGTGGATTCCTACAGGGAGGGAGGCCTTGAATAACTTTGTGCTATCTTAGTTAAACATGGTGTGCTTCTCAGTGCTGCTCCCTTAGAATAAATGAAAATTGTATTGGCCCTGAATTGGCTCTTGAGCAAATCCCGTATCATTGCTCACATCTGATCTGTAAGCATTTTAATGCTACTCCTATGGTTGTTTTTTTCCCCAGTGATCTATTTAAGCTTTCCATTTCACTTTTTCTGTACGTTCTTAATGCCTCTGTGTTTGAAGATGTAGTGAGATTTGAAAGGCATCCTGTTGGCAAGAGGGGAATAATGAGTTGGCTCTTAAATGCATTTGGTTCACGGTATTTTATAATTAGCTGCGTGAACTTTCAGTGTTTAGATAGGAGAACCAGGAGATGATGATTATGCAGAGCTTTTCCTCTTCAATCACATACATGCTGCATTTACTTAAAGATTTGAAGTATCCCTCTGCAGGGCTGTGTATTAAGTAATTCGTTTTAACTCTTCGTTATGAAGCCTGTGCAATTAATTGACAACATAGAGAAATAACGAACTCTTGGGTGATGGTAGTCTGAAACCTGCTCTAAAGGGCTGGGAATTGGCAGGTCTCAGGCTGCTTATTGCTGTGAGTGCTGGGAGGGTCAGAGTCAGCCTGTGTGTGCTTGCTGAGTTGCTGGAAGGGCTGATGTGTAAAACAGGCGAGTTGTGCATTCACCCATCGAGTATTTAAACAGACCTAGTGTGGCAGGGTGAGAAATTTGATGTGGTTGTTGGGAAATAGAATTGAAACGTGAAGGTAACTCCAATTATAAAGTGACAGCGAGGAAATAATTTTATCGTAGCAGGTATGTTTTACCTTAGCCTGCTAAGTTCAGAAGTACCACAGCTGGGGGAGCGTGGGGGACCTTTGTGGCACAGTGGGTGACCTGAGTCCTTTCAGGAGTCAGAATGCATCCCAGATCCTGAAGCACCCTGAGCTTGCTAATCCTGGCTTAGGCTCTGTCACACCAGAAACCCCAAACCCTGCTAGGAAGGAGCGCATCATTCTCTGTCAGATAGTACGTCTCTATCAGGTAGCACCATTGTAGCTTTTTGTCTAACATGTGTCTACTCTTTTCCCCTAACTGTGATTTGTGACAATAGAAGTACCATTTTCATAACACTGTGTGTGTACTGTAAGAACTGGGCTTCTCTTGAGGAAAAGTTAAGACCTATGGGAAACTTATTTGAATGCTAATGGATGGTCTTTCTGCTTACAACCGTGACGAATTTGCCCTTTTTGGAGATGCATTTCTCACAGTTACATAAAAAAGACTACTTTCTTTTACCTGGCTATATCAAAAGCGAGCACATCTAACGTGAGAGTTAACGTTTATAATGCAGTTTTGGCTTTCTTTCCCTATTATCCTTAAAGCATGCGACTTAGATATCCTTTTTTCCACAAGCGAAGCCTTTTTCTGTTTTGCTCTCATACCTTTTCTCTTCTGTAATGAGCTGCTTTGTGTAACAGGTGGGAGATTCAAGAAAGAGATAGTAGTTGATGGACAGAGCTATCTGCTGCTGATTAGAGATGAAGGTGGCCCTCCAGAGGCACAGGTGAGCATTGCACATGGAGCTTCATCGTGGCTTCCCATTTCTTCTAAATGTTGCCATCTTCTATAAGAGAGCTTGCTTTACTTTGTCCTTTTCTGTGTCCTGCTCATTTTTCTGCTGCTAAAATGCTTATGTTATTCTCGGGTGAAAAGTACTCTGTTTACAAAATACGTGTGATTTGAAGAACAGTGTGAAATCCTGTAGCAATATGGGTAAGTTATACTGAATACCTAACCATTATGGTTGCACAAAATTTCGGTTCAGTTTTTAGATAATAATTCAGAATAAATATTCATTAAAGAAAGGTAAAATAGGTGCATACTCACTAGCGTTCATACTTGTGTACAAATCTGTATTCCTTACTGCTTCCACGTTTTCCTCCCTGAGCCACTGTAAGACTCACTTTTCCACGTTCTGGGTCACTGTTGAGTTCTCAGGTTTTTACCTGGTTTCTGTATAACTAGGTGTCACCTTCTTGCCCTGTGGAAGGCAGCTGGTTCATCAGGAGGCAGCTGCGGATTTGTATCCCTAGCACTGTCGTGCTATTGTAACAAAGTCTTTCCTTGTTGCTTGTGTGATTCTGAAACAGAGAAGTTTCTGCCCACCTGGCTGTAGGCAACATCCTTGCCTTCAGTCATCCTCCAGCTCTCCCCCTACCTTTTCCTAGGTAGGACCAGCAGGGTTTCTCAAGTGCACAGCCTGTGCTGGCCTTGCTTTGCTCAGCTGTTCAGTAGCAGCTCAGCAGCAGGAGCTGCACCACTGCCAAACAGCTGAATGGGAGCCGTGCCAGCAGCAGCAGCTTGAATTTCAGAGCTCCACTGTTGCTGATGAACTACAGGAGGATGGGAGCGTGGGGGAAAGTGTCTGGGCAAAGGAGAAGAGAAAGGAGGTATGGGAAACGGAGACCGGAAGGGACATCCTGGGAGGAAGTGTGGCTCACACATCTGCAGCCTCAATGAAGTTCTCTGTTTTAGCCTGTGAATAATTGGGCTGATGTACACAGCAGTTGCCAGGCCTTGATTCTCAGAGAGCATTCACTCATTAAAAAAGACAAAAAAATTGATACTGCGATTGTGTGAGTACACACAGCCATCTAACAGACATTTTGGTACCTGGAGAATTGCTTTCCCAGAGTGTATCTGAACTGTTTGCAGACTCATGAGCAGACACGGCGTTGCCTTTGATCCCTGCTAGGTAAATTGGGGTGTTTAATTCCCGCTGTGGCTCTTCAGAGAAGTAATGAAAGGCCTGAGGTCTTAGTGCTGGTGTGCTTTTCAGAAGACACGTTTTACTTGTCAGTTCTCTTTATTGTGTCATGGGCATAATTTCAAGTTGCACATATATTTAATATCTTTAATCTCCTTATTAATTCCTACCGTAGAAAGTTTACCTTTGGGCTACTGAATATTTATAACAGAAGTGGAACATTATCTGGAGAAAAATGTTTACATCTCAATCTTCCCTTATAATTTAGACAGGACTAGTTATTTTAGCCTCAAGGTTCTGCATTTTGCAACGGTGCAGTATAATTCTGTGGATAATTAGGATAGAATTTTGACCTCAGTAAGTAAAGAGCTGAACTGCAGTCAGCAGAGCAGGAAAAACCTGCACGAGCTGCTGGCGCTGAAGTAAGTGCTTACAAACCCAGAAAGCTTGCTAAATGTACATAAACATTTCCCAAATGAATCTGCTTGCAGCTCTCTGTATGCTCAGTGTGTCCCTAACCTAAGTGGCATGTTGTAGTAGCAATGTAACAAGAGGCATGAGTACTGCTGGCTAAAACTTGTTTCCGTTGGTCTAAATTTGGGTAGGAATGGAATCACTTAGGGAAAAATAAAGGCAGCGAGGTAAGCTGCAGTTTCTTTTCTGTGCTGTACACACTTACTGCTATGTTAAATGTGTCTAGATTGTCTTATTTCACCTGTAAGCTGAAACTTGCATGGTCACTAACCCAGCACCTTGCCTTGAGCTGTGTGTGCATGTCTTCTAGTGGGGTTCTGATGCCAGGAGAGAGCAGTTGGCTTTCACACAGAAAGCTGAATGAGACAGCCGGTCCTGGTTATCCAATTCATGGGTCTCTACAGAAAGTAATTGGGGGGCTGAAGTTAATATTTTTGGACACAGAGATGAGAGAATTATTAGCATTGCTTGTAAATCCACAGCCATGTTTGCCCACAGAAGCAGCAGCATGAAGCATGCCAAGCACAGAGCGGGGAAAATAACGCGCTCCATGGGGCAGTCAGGAGCTTAGGGAGATAGAATCCACAAATACAGAAAACTGAGACTGTGTTGTTATCTCTGTTAATGAAAATCAGCGTGCACTGATAGCAGTTGTGATCACAAGGGATTCCCTTGTGAGCATCGGGGAAAATCTTTGTGCATCCCAGATACTTGCATATTGATGCGAGTTGTGGTGAACGTTGACTCATCATCTTTTAAATACTGCACCGCATATTTTTTCTTAAGACCTGGTTATAGTCACTGCATTTTTCTACTTCCAGTTTCCCGCTATGTCAGATAAGAGTTGGGTTTTTTCCCTCTTTCCACTGCATTGCTCTCAATGTGCCTTTTCCATTTTTATTCTGCAGTTTGCCATGTGGGTGGATGCTGTTATATTTGTCTTCAGCTTGGAAGATGAAGTTAGCTTCCAGACTGTTTACCACTACTACAGCCGTATGGCTAACTATCGTAACACTAGTGAAATTCCAATGGTACTGGTGGGAACACAGGGTAAGTGCATTCTTTATTACTTGCAAACACATGCAGGCTGTTCCAAGCTGGTAGTGCCATGTCCTGTCCTTTCCCATCAGTGCTGCCCCACTCATCTGATTGTGAGAGCTTGTGTTAAGAGGACAGGTATTCAGCAAGGTGACTTGCTGACATCTGGCTTTCCTTGGCTGGCTTGCAACAGAGCTTTGGCACTGCAGGGACTGGTTTCAGAGGGGAGGCAAATGGCCACGTGGTGCCCTTGGGATGCAGTAGGTCCCTGTATATAGTGGGTGTCCTGCAATAAATTCTGATCAAATAGGACTTCCTGCATATGGGTGCTATGCTTCAGGCGTCTCACTTCAGAGAGCTGCTGTTTTGGGAGTGTAGCACAAGTTGTTTTTTGAGTTCCTTCATAGTGAAGCATTGCTTGCTGTGTAGTGCAATTTTGGTTTTGGGTTTCTTCCCTTTTAGTGCTGCCAAAGTTTTTCATTGCTTTCTTAGCTTTCTTCTTGTCCATCTTACAGTCAGTGATTTGCTTTCAGCTGCGTGCCTGCAGAGCTGTGAAACCAGCACTGTGCTGCAGGAAGCAAGGGGAAGTGTGGGGAGCAAAGAAGGAAGAAGAGCAGCAAAGCCTTAGGGTGGAAACAGATGATGAAAACACAAAAAGGGAAGTAGGTACAAAAAAATTCCTAGGACAGCAGAAATTACAGACAAAAGCAGAAATGAACTGCTCTAGAGAGCATCATGGTCCTGAAATTGGAGCTGAAAAATAGGAAGGGGAAGCTGAGATATTTTTCCAACACATTTCTGTCACCTGGGGGTGAGGTCTTTCATCTTATAGCCGCCTGCCAGTTCCTCCTACAGGAAAGCTGGGGAGGGACTTTTTATAAGGGCAGGGAGCGGCAGGACGGGGGAAAACAGCTTTGAACTGGAAGAGGGGAAATTGAGACCGGATTTCAGGAAGAAATTCTTTACAGTGAGGGAGGTGAGACATTGGAACAGGTTGCCCAGTGAGGTTGTGGATGCCCTCCTCCCTGGGAGCGTTGCAGGCCGCGCTGGATGGAGCTGTGAGCAACCTGGTCTAGAAGGAGGTGTCCCTGCCTACAGCAGGGGGTTGGGATGAGATGGTCTTAAAGGTCTCTTCCGACCCAAAATGTATTTGTTTTACAAAGGTCATTTTTTGTTGCAGCACCGATGCAAGGGGAATTTTTAAAATGTGGCTAAAAATGGCAATGCTGGTATGTGGAATAAGCATGAGAATAAAACAAAGCCTTGTGGCTACACTGACCATCAAACTGTGCAGAGGTTGATTCTGGAATTGACCCGTTTGATACCAGCTTTGTGTTTGAAATGCTCTTTGAAATGAGGGCTCTCCCAAAGAAATCAGCCCAGGCTGCAGCTCAGCCCGGCATTTGCTTTGCAGAGTTGGTGGGTCTCAGTTAATTTCTGCTTAAATGTTGTTAGCGCCCTCTGCTGCCTAAGAAAAGAAGTCTGCGGTTCAGATTTGATTGTAGGATCACTTCAGAGATTTCCCCAGCTGTTTGCTAGTGTTTGAAGAACACTGTGTGTGTGTGTGTGTGTGTGTGTGTGTGTGTGTGTGTGCAAATCTAACACTCTTTCTAGGTGTTGAAGTACTGCATGGTTCTGTTTCTTCCTTCCATTCCATTGGTTCCCTGCTGAATCTCACGCTCCAGGTGAAGTTTACTTGTAAGCCAGTGTTGCTGTTTAAGGAGGCTTAAAAGTCATTTGAGGTGTTTATATTTACCAGCCACTTGTTTTCCTAACTCGTCTTACTTCAAACCTCATGTCTTTTTGTGTGAGAATGTATTTTTTTTTTTTAACTGGTGGCCCAAATACAGTCAAGGTAGTAACAAAGTATAAAGTTAGATTGATGTCCTCTGTTTTCTACAAAAAATTTTGGAAGTTATGTTTATTGTAGTTCCAACTGTATTGGCAATGGTAATTATGAGCCAAAGTCATCAAGTTATAATAAAATCTATTTATCTTCTTCTATTCCTGTTGCTGCAGATGCTATAAGTTCCAGTAACCCACGTGTCATAGATGATTCCAGAGCAAGGAAGTTATCAAATGACCTCAAGAGATGCACTTACTATGAAACCTGTGCCACCTATGGGCTCAACGTGGAGAGAGTCTTTCAAGATGGTAAAGATGACTTTTTCTCATCCATATCACGCAGTGTGGTTGACTAATTGTTGACTAATAACTCTTTTAGCCTCAAGCATTTTGAGCTTCTTAATTCAGCGTTGTTTTTCTGCTTGCTTTGGTTTTATATCAGCAAAGTTTTCTTTGCTTTAGTGCTCACGGAGACACTAAGGGCATTTTAGATAAGTAGTTGTAAATTGTGTCTTGCATTATCTAGAAATGAGAAGTAAACCAAGACAATTGATAAGGGCATAGTAGTCATTAGAAGTAATGCATGGCATTCTTGGAGTGTTTAAAGCTGGCAGTTTTGTGTAGGTATTCAGAAGTAAAGTTGGCTGCTTACGGGTAATTTAACAGGTGAAGAGTGGCAATGTTCTAGTTTGTCTCATGAAAGGTTTCATTGTGTGCCATCTAAAAAAGGAGTAACAAGTAACCTATTTTGGGCAGTTAACTTAGTGGCAGAACTGTGGCTGGAGAAGCTGTGCTAAATCTTTCATTTGTGAAATTGGTGCACCCTCTAGTGGAAATTCAGCCACGTGTCTTGGGATTTTATTGCCTCCTGTTCCAGTGATGGCAGTGTACTATCGAGCATATTGCTTCTGTGTTTAGAAACCTAGATTACGTTGAACTGCTCCTCCAGAGTCTTTGGTTCTGGAGGTGTTGCCCTGTTTAGTTTTGTTGTTTGCCTACAAAGACCCGCAGCTTTATGAGCATCACATTGGTGGGTATCAGAGCACAGAGGTGTTCTGTATCTGCCAAGATGACTTAGGAAACAAGATTAAAAAATTCTAGTTTTTAAATGGAAAATAATGTCATGCTTAAGTCCAGATAAGAGTGTGTGTAGCCAGCCTACTGGTAGGATCTCAGAGAAGACTGTTTAAAGCTGTAGCTGTAATTTGCTTGCTGCTTTCTGTTGAAAGGCTTACAGGAATTGCTGTTTTCACTGCCAAAACTTTCTGCACTGAATATGACTTTCAGAAATCCACTTGGGATTTTTTGTTGGTATATTTATTTTTGAGTGCTAGCTGTAGTTAAATTTTTATTGACGTATTCAGAGTGTACGTTCTACTTTTCTTTCTCAAGGAGCTTTTGGGAGAGAACTATCTTTGGGAAAAGGTGAAGTGATAGATTTGTAAGGTTTTAGGAAGCTTATTTGTGTCTCTACTAAATTTCAGTAGTAAATTCAGTAGTAGAGAGAATCAACAAACCTGTTCAAGAAATTCCAAGTTCTATTCCACTGACATGGAAGTTAATATTTACCAACTAGTGGAATTAAGAATTCTTCTGTAGAGATGTGCTACAGTTTCCAGGCACGTCTGGGGTCAAATCTAATTCCTGATCATTATTGCTGTTCATCTCAGCCTTTGACCAGTGAGAATAAGTTGTTTATTCAATAGGAAATAAGGGCTAGCATCCTGAAATGTATGCCAGTTTTACACACGTCCTCCAGTTTTGTTTCAGTCCTGTATGTTCACAGGCATTAACTGCCCGTGTGGAGGTGGCACAGCAGTTAGGCAAAGGTTTAGCTCTTAGTGATTCTTTGTGCAGCCAGTCTGGTGCCCTGCTGGGTTATCTTATCTTCAAGGAAGCTGGTGTGACACTGGAGTGCCTATTCTTCCTTGTAGTCTAAAGGAATCAGGCCTCCTCCTCATCAGGCCGTTGGTACTTGAATGGACAAGGCAGGTTTGTAGGTTTGTTCTGCTTTGTTTGCTCATAGCTGAGGAAGAAAAAGCTGTTGATCGCTTTGTTAGTAGTGCCTGCCTATCATCTCCCACAGATATGGCTGTATGAAGATATGGATTTGCTGCCATACTGATGAAGAGCACGTTCTGTGCATTGGAATTATTTCCACGCTTTGCTTGTGTCTGGATGGATATTCGTTTGCTCTCGGAATTTGGGTTTAGGATTTAATTGCTTTGTATTCCAATTCCAGGTGAGCTCATGCTCAGGGTTGGAGTGCTCCAAGGTGTTTGCTTTGGTAGCTCTGTAAAGGCATTTCACCTGGCAAGGGCCCACTGGTTTTGCTGGCTCACAGTTTTGATGAACTTACTGATGGCAGTAGATGCTTTTCTATTGAATATTGGTGGAGTGGGAGATGAAATGGGAGAGATTGGTTTTGATTTACTCATTTTAGCTTTAGTATCTCATTTTGCATAATTTGAGTCCTATTTTAGTCAAGTCCAATGACAATGATTTGTGTCATCTGTGATTGATGTGTACAGTCGAGGCTCCTAATGACCGTACATCCAACACTGCCAACCCCAATTCCAGCTTCTGTTGTTGAGGAAGTTTGAATTGCTGGTAGGGTGTTAAATCTGTGACTAATAAACTTCGAGTGTCCAAAACCTTTTTATAATTCCTAGTTAAAGTAAATTTCTCTCTAAGAGGATTTGCCAGGATGTTTGTTCTTAGTTGTTTGAGATGTATGAAGTGTTCTTTCAAGAGTTTGAATGCTGAAGTCAGAGGAGTTTGGAACATTTCAGAGGGGTCTTTGTAGCCTTTAGAGTTGTCCCATTCAGGTCTCATCTCTGATGCTGTTTGAAGTTGGAGCTGCACGAGCAGGCTTTGAATTTCACTCTTAAAACAAAGGAAATGGAGAATTCCAGCTCAGTAATGTGCTTGTAGCTCTTGGTGTTTGCAACTTGAGACTGTTGGATGGGAGAATTAAGCTTTAAAGAAGCTGATTAGTATTTGATCTTGCTTCAGATTGCCTCGTTAAGAATTAGGGGTTTTTCCTGCTTATCAAAACAGATTTTATCAATGACATTGGAAATGATTATCTTAATATTTCTTGTCAGTGCAATACAGCAGTGACTGTACTGCCCCAGGATGCCTTTTTAATGACTTTAGCCTTCTTGAATTAGCTTGATGCACCATTAATGCATAAGAATTGCTTTTATTTTTGTTCACGATGTATTCATAATTGCATGGCTTTCCCTGGTTCATGTTCAGCTTTTTTTGACCCATTTAATTATGTGCTATGCAGCTCTCTTATGTTACAGAGGGAAAGGCAAACGTGATTTCAGTTCAATATTGAGTCTGTTACTGAAGCTTAGCAGTTTCCATTTATCCACTTGTGAGTGATGAAAGTGGAAAATAGTTCCTTTTTAGTGTGAAGTTTCAACATGGGGATCTTTGACGTTGCTTTGTCTCACTACTACAACACTGCAAGATGCTGACAGTCTGCCAGATAGTCACACTTGCACTATAACTCCCAAATCTCTTAACATGGGGCAGGAATTGTCATACTGTGCCATTAGTCTGAAGCAGGCCAGTGCTGCTTCAATATTTGGACCATTACTGGTATTGTGCAGTCTTTTATTACCTATTTTCTCTGTGAATTAAGCTACTATTTAAATGGTGTGCCTGCTTATGAACATGATCAGGTATTTCATTCCCAAGTCCTGTGCTTGGGATATTCTGCAACCAACTAGTGCTGGCACTGTTTTGTGGAACAGCTGTGCCTGGAAGGTGTACCTTGAAGTAGAAATGCTCCATTACAGGATGGAAGATGACAAATTAATCCTTGCAGGCCTGGGTTGCGGGGAACGGCTGTCGCTTGTGATCAGTATTAACAAGTCGGTTTTTATGGATGTATTTTCATTAAGAAACATTAATCAGTCTAATGGGAGGTAAGTAAAGCCTGAGTGCTATGAGGCTGACAGATTTTTAGGCAGAGCAGTATTCACTCGTACACTCGATACGGCCCTGGGGGTGCTTCAGTTCTGAAGTCAGAGGCTGAAGCTGTGTGCACCCAAAGTGCTGTGCAGAGCTTGGGAGCAGGTCCTCTGGCTTCTGTAATTACTCTGATTTCAGGAACATACAGCTGTGACCTTTCTGCAGAGTGCTTATGGCTGCAGCTCGGCATCAGAAGTGACAGGCGGCCCTGATGACTCATTAGTTGGACTTGTCAAAGATGGACTGGATCAGCCTAGTAAAACTTTGAGGTTTTTTCTTGCTTTCACGTCTGCTCACTGCTTGCAGAACAGCAGAAACCTTCTTGTGCCATCAGCCTTGTTTCTGCTATGGCTGAGCAATGTTTGTAGGCTCACTCTTAAATCTGAACATCAGTGAAATTTCAACTCTCACTGTTCAAAGTCTCCAAACTTCAGTTATTCTTTATTCCTTATTTTAGCCTTTGTTCCTTATTTAGGCCTTGTGTGCATCCTGATTTAAAAATGCCAGCAGCACGTCATGGTTTTGTGATTTTGGGGGATTCTTTTATCCTTTCACAGAAATGGGGCTTCAGTGGTGCAACTGTAATTTGTATTGCTAATAAAGTTCCAGAGAAGGTTAGTTCTCAGCTGCAGTGTGTCATCCATTAGGTTATATGGAGTAAACAGCAACCTCTGAAAAACTTCTCCTGTGCTTAATTTTATTGGGCACATATATATGGCTTTTTTTATTTTTTTGTAACTCAAATATATGCAGCAAGGTGTGCTACTTGAAGCCTTGGATGCTGTGGTGATGCAGAGTTATGATGTTCTGCAGTGGGTAGAATAGATGGACTTAGTTCACCACAAGATCTTCTCTAAATGGAAACAATGTTGGTATATTTCATTAAAGTATGAGAGCACAAGGTTTCCATTAGTGAAGATGGAGGATTGGTCCAGTAGTTTTATATATTTTAATGCAAATATGAGAAGAAGTTCTGGGGCAGGAAGCATGATGGTTGTTTGGTGGTCAATTGCCTTTTATTGGCAATAGACCCGAGGGTGAGAGGCATAAACAGTGTGTTTTATAGGTTCATGTAAATTTTATTTGAGATATAAAATAGTACAGGCAGGTTGGTGTAACGTCTGCAAACAGATCAGGGCTGTTTTCCATTAACACGAGAAAATGACATGAATGCAAATTCTGAAAGGGGGAGGAAGTTTGAAAATTCCTGTTGGGCTACAGCTGAGCGTTTCAATCTTTGCCGTTTTGTTCCTGGATCTGTTCTGTCTCATTTGCTTATCCCTGCACAAATTGGGACTTTTGTTCTTGTCCCTCCGTGTTAA